AAAAGGAATTCAAAACCCTCAAAGATAAGTTATGTTCTACTCCCATTCTTCATCTTTTCGATTTTGCTAACACTTTCGAACTATAATGTGATGCTTCGAGTATAGGCATATGCGTAGTTCTCATGGAGGAGAAACAACCTATATATTACTTTAGTGAGAAATTAAAAATTTGCACAACTAAATTACTCCTCATATGATAAAGAAATTCATGAATTAGTTTGAGCACTCGAAGTGTCATAGAGGAGAAACAACCTATATATTACTTTAGTGAGAAATTAAAAAGTTGCACAACTAAATTACTCCTAATATGATAAAGAAATTCATGCATTAGTTTTAGCACTCGAAGTGTAACAACACTACCTTCTTCCTAAATAGTCTTTCATACACACAGATCGCGAATCTTTAAAGTGGTCAAATGGACAAGGTAAATTGAACAAATGACATGCTCAATGGGTTGAATTCATTGAATCTTTTCACTATATCATTAAAGACAAACAAGGGAAAGTTAACATTATAGTCGATGTATTATCTTAAATCTACACACTTATCACACAAATGCAAGCTACTATTCTCTGGTTTGAACATATGAATAACTTTATTCTACTTACTTGAATTATTTTTAGATATACTCACACTGTTTAAAATGTGCTTTTAAAAATTTTTATCTTATAGATGGCTTCCTTTTTCGTCTGAACATGTTATACATTCCATAAGTCTCACTGAAAGAGGTTTTGGTTAATGAATAACATTCAAGAGGACTGAGTGGCCACTTTGGTGTTAACAAGACTTTTGATTTGATAACATATCACTTCTTTTGATCGCACATGAGAAAAACCATCGAAAAGGTAATTGCTTCATGCATTCCATGCAAACAAGCCAAATCTAAGGTAAATCAAAATAATTTATACATTCCTCTACTTATTTCCTCTTCACCTTGGATCAATATATCCATGTATTTTATTCTTTTCTTACCTCGCACCAAGAAACAACGATATAGTCTATTTGTAGTGGTGGATAGGTTTTCAAAGATGGCACACTTTATCACCTGTCATAAAATAGACGATGCCACGCATATTATTGATCTTTTCTTATAAGAGATAGTACGACTTTATGGCATTCCTCGTAACATTTTTTCCGACCGAGATATAAAATTCATAAGTCACTTTTGGATGGTATTATGGGGTAAGATAGGTACGGAACTTCTTTACTCTATGACATGTCACCGACAAACAAATGGAAAAATATATGTAATAAAATGAATTCTATGTTCTTTATATAGAACGGTTGTTGGTAAGAACACTCATAATTGGATATATTATTGATTCTTATGGACACTAAAAATGTGTGGGAGTTCAGGAAAAACACTAAATTTATACATTGAAGGTGATGAGCAAGAGATTACAAAAGGATTTTGCAAGGTTAGAAGGTTTGTAACCATAGCGGTTATCGTTGTTATAGTGCGTGTGGGAGTTGTGATGTAAATAAAATATTTCTAAGCATTTAATGATAATAGTAACATCTTAAAATATTTGGGGTCTTGATTTGATTATTAGGATCCCTACAATTAGGATTGTATATCGTTTGATTACTATCAGACTCAAATATTTTTTATTCTTAGGGAAACTAAAAACTGTGTGGGAGTTCAGTAAAAACACTAAATTTATGCATTGAAGGTGATAAGAAAGAGATTACAAAAGGAATTTGAAAGGTTGGAATGTTTGTAATCATAGTGGTTGTCGTTGGTATAGTGGGTGTGAGTGTAGTGATAGAGAGTAGTGGAGCAATCAAACCAATGGACAAAAGAATGTTGTTGTTATCTGGTAGCTAACAATACAATTATGTTGCGGTGATACAATTTTGATTCATGCATCAGTTAACACATTAATCTTCTTTCAGGAATTACATACTTAACCAACTGGAATTAACTTTTATTAAAACAACTGATCAAATAGTTAATAAAACAAGACAATCGTTATCATACATCTCTTTATAGTTAAGTTTATTTTTGTAAACACCGATGCTGAAACTATAGTAACATGTAATCTCAACGATTTCTATTTCTAAAAATTATTAAGATCAACATATATGAAGATGAATCCATCTCTTAAACCATCCATTAAAAAGAACTAAACTCATAAAAATATTATTTTAAGTAAAATTATAAGGTATACATATCATCGAACACCTTATGTTCAAATCCGAAAAACAACATAAAATTAAGTAATTCAAACATAGAAAAGTGTCTCCCTTTTTATAGGAAAGAATACCAAGGAAAGCTTGAATACCGATCGGTCATCGCTGCTACACGGTTGCTCCACGCTATTGTACACTCCCTGGTGAATTGTTTAGTTAGCCATGGTGATGTTAGGAGAGAAAAATAGAAGGCGACTAGGGTTTTTGATGATGAGAGAAGTGTGGAGAAAACATTAAATTTGTAGCCCATCAAAGTCAAACTTTTCACCATTAGGAAACCCTTTATTCTAAAAAGTACTTTTTAAATTCAAATTCCAACCTTTTATCCTATAGCTTTATCAAGTCTAAAAATTTCTCCAGATGCCTTGTGACTCAATTACAACAAAATTGTCTCATCAATCAAGTTAAACATAAGTGTACCTAAGTGTTTGTTTATCCTCAAGCAACTACAATACAAGGAATAACTCTGCTAAACAACAATGCTGAAAATAAAAATCAGATTTTTAACTCACCTTTTTAGTTCTCGGAATTTTTCATTGTTACCACAAATGTGATAGAATTAACTGATCTCAAATTAAGGAATGTATTGCCAACTTACAAAATTCAGAATTCATAGAGTCATGTAGTGTTCAAGCAAGGTGTATCCAATCAATATTTAGCTAAACTAGGGGGAAAATGGATCCTACTTACTTGTTTAAATTTTCAATGTTGTAGCAACATCATCCTCAATTTATTTCACTGTTGAAACCAATGTTGGGCACCTCCAAGATCCACTTTTATTACTATTTCATTACTAGAGCCAGTTTTAGACACCTCTAGTAGATTGGAATTTGAAAAGTGTTTTTTTTTTCTTTTTTTTCACTAGGGTAAATTTCAGGCACCTCTAATATCCTTTTATCCAAATCAATGCTACAACCAGTATTAGGCACCTCTAATATTTAATTTTTAAAAGTTTGAATGTTTGCTACAATACCTATTAATTTTGTGAGATTTGGATGGTTCAACAGTTTCTAATGTCTTGAAAGAATACACCCATTGTGTTAAAGTTTTTCCATAAAATCCTAACCTTAATAAAAATCTAACACTTTCCTCATACATTTAAGTAAAAAATTTCCTTCCTCATCGAACTTCATCAAAAAAGAGTTTAAAAATTTTCATCAACTAAGACAACATAGTAACAACAATGCAAGATGAACATCTCAAATGCAAGAACAAAAATATTCAAGTGTAACACCACAACCGAACAACACCCCTCAAACCTGAGATGTGCATTGCCTTCAATGCATGCAAACAAAGAGAAAAAGAAAATCAAATCAAACAAATAAAATAAAATAAAATTAAACAAGACTTAAGAAAAGGGACAATAATACTCCCCTAATTTCGGTGAAGATGTAGTGTAGCAATAACTAATTAGTTCGTAACTCCAACTGATGTTGTGAGGAAGAGGAAACATATGATGATGAATGGTGTGACGATTGTTGGGGGAACATGACCATAAAAGAAAATAGAAGAAAACTGATAAAATAACAAAATCCAAAAAAATTAAAAATAAGATGAAATACTACAAAAATTAAAAACAATAATAAACTAATCGAGCTTGAGTTCATAGAACCAATTTAAAGAAATGCTTTGTGGTATATTGTTACCATAATGTTTCCCGTTATGCCCATTATACATGCTCCAACATTCATCCAAGTGTTCTTGCTTTGTTCCTTTGATAATGTCAATAGCATAACGTGCAACTTCTTCATTGTTGTTCAATGGGTTGAATACGTTGAATTTAAGTTGTTGGTCCTCCTTGGTGTTTTGGAATTATTGATGGAGTGAAGGTGGTGGCCTTATGTAAGTTATAATGAAAATTGTGGTGGAATCGCAAGTGGCAATTTTGTTGGCAATGTCCCAGAGTTACTATATTGGCCCGCATCATTTGTTGTGACACCAATGTTGGGTAGCTCAATCTCTACTTCTTGTTCATTATGTTTGAATTGTTGTTTAGGCCTCTTATTCTCCCTTTTTTTAGCTCATAATTCTTCCCAAGTTAGAGTCTACTTATCATTCTGATGGCTTTACAATACTGGTTACAACCAACTTCAGTCATGTGACAATGCTCTTTTATGTTTCATGTTAAACGCATTGGCCAGATGTACAACTTGATTCTCCACTACTTGCAATGATGTTGAGTGGCTTTGAATGTACTCCATCAGTAGAGACTTAAATGATGAAGATGTTAAATCTTGGTTGGAAGTTTTCTCATGATAACTTTGCTGGTTGTTGTATTATTATGGTTACATTGCTTGATGATGTATTTGCTGATGTGGCAGTATCGGTTGTTGTTACACATACTATTCTTCAGACTAATATTCTGGTTGTGTACTCTCAAAATTCAATGATGTATTAGAATTTAATATATTATGACTTCTCTGTGATAGATCAAAATGATTCTCAAAGTTCGAATTGCAGGTGTTAGAATTGTCATTCCAATTATAGCTCATTATGAAATACATGAAATTGAGATTTTGAGGATATTCCTTAAAATTATGATTAACGCCACAATGAACACAAGTAATAAGGGATATTGATTTAACTTTGTATATACCTCCAGGTTGTTGCATTTCTTTAATCATCTCAGTCAATGTTATCAATTGGGTTGTCATTGTGTTCAGCATATCATTGTCCATTGCTGCAGCAACGCGTCTCCCCAACATCATTCTTGTATTAGGATACTGGTAATCATTGTTATTGATTTAACCATTCGATTTTACATGTTAAGGTCATTTTAGAATACATTTATTTGTATGCAATGCTGAAAACCATGTATCGGGTATTTGAATAGTAATTTTTTAAATCGCTCTCATGCTTCATACAAGATTTAATCCTCTAATTTCTTGAAAGATGTGATTCCATTTCTTAGTTTAACATTCATTTTGAGTAGATTGAAACGAAAAAAAATGTGCCAACTCATTCCATGTTGCTATAGTACCAGGCTACAGCGACTTAAGCCATGCTATAGCTTTGTCAAGAAGCGAGTGAGTAAATAATTTCAGCTTCAGTGTATCACGGGAAATCCTTGATGTAAAAAAGAATTACACAGTTCCATGAATTATAGAGAAGTGGTAGCAGATGATGAATGTTACTATTTGTTGAAGAATCCAACCTTGAAAGCTCTATACTTAATAAAAGAATAAGAGGGTTAGAGGGAGATGTGGGTCATGTCAAGGTACTTGGGTTCGGGTTTTGATTTGCTAATTTTAAGACAAAGAATAAGTATTTAAGATAATAAAAACAACGTAGTGGAATTCTAATAAAATTAGAACAATGGGAAAACAAGGGTAATGAAATAAATTAAAGATAAAAGATGTAGTAAGGGAATTAATCTTATCTCCCTTGTAATGGGTGGAAAAGAGGTTGTTGTTTAATTTTGATGGTTGAATATTCATTGGAAATATAATAAGATAAGGATTGCAATGGAGAAGACAACATCAAATTATAACAATTGGATCATCGTAAAAAGTTATTTGAAAATTACCCCCGGTATGTTTGGTGCTTAACGCAAACCCTAGGGTTTCTGTATACTGATGGGATGATTATGGAAGAAGAATATGGTGGCTTGTGGATGATGAAGATAGATGGATATATCCTGTCGAACCCTCGTAGTCAAAATGAAAAGGAAAACATGACAATACGACTCTACCCAGCCCTCACAATCACAAGGCACAATACTATCAACTATTGCAAAAATGATCTCTCGTTGTATTGAATAATAAAAAATAAAACTTGATGATTACAATAGTGGGAGGAGCCTCCTTTATATATGTGAAAAGTATCTTTATTGTATCATGACTAAGGAATAAAATAACATTATAATAAGAACAAATAAAAACTAAGATGTATCCTAATTGTAATAGGGTGGGCGACATTGATGTGAGTCGTTAATGTAGTGTTTGATCCAGCGGTGGTGATGAGATCAGGGAGTTTGATGTAAGATGAATCCCTCTAGCTTAATGAACAGTCTGTACGAGTCTTATAGAAGATGAATGATCGGTAATACCTCATGGAGAAATAAAAGGGGTGGCTATGGAGGAAATGATAGTTACTTAAGGTTTCTTTCATTACAACCAATTACCCTTTTAAACTTATCCTATGAAAATAAAAGGAAAACAACTTAAATTACTAAAATCTATGTAAGAAAGTAATCAATGCTTCATAATTTAGCAATGGATACTTTTTACAAGGGTTTTAGTAATTTAAGGAGGTTTGAAGTTGTTTCCAGGAATGTCTTCTTGGATTGTGCATTTTGGTAATAGATTGTCTTCAACTTGTGATAATAAGATCCAAGTAGTCGTGAGAGGGGAAATGAATGGGTTTCCCTCTTTGAATTCTTTTATTTCCATGTGGCCTTGAATTCCATTACTAATGAATGCTTGAATTGATGTATGAAGTTTGTCCTTTAGAAGTTTGGCTCTATTTCTTGTAATTTGGTCAGGTGGAGGAGTTAGGCCATGTTCTTTGGAATTATAATATGTGGTGTATGTATCATCTCTCCCCTCCTTATAAGAATTTGTCCATGAATCTGAAACATCAAAAGGAGATAAATTATAAACATTAAAAGATGCACCTACGTCGTACTCACCTAAAATGGTCCATCACCACATGGATCAAGTTTAGATTTTCGTTTCTTTGGGAATCTTTCTTTCTGCATGTGCAACCAAACCCAATCACCTGGTTCAAATTTTGACATGTCCGTATCATTTATTAACTCTGTGAGCCACTACTTTGTATGTTTTCTCCATAATTTTCTTCACTTTGGAGTGAATATCCTTTACAAAGGTTGTCTTTTGGTTGCCATCCATGCTAGTAATCTGATCTAATGTAAAAGGAATAAGATCCAATGTATACAGTTGACTAAATCTATAAACTATTTCAAATGGAGATTAACATGTCGTCGAGTGGATGGATTTATTGTAAGCAAATTCAACGAAAGGTAAACATTATTCCTAGTTACGAGTGTTCTTACCTACCACGATTCTTAGTGAAGAACCAAGAATTTGATTGATTACCTCACTCTTTCTGTCAGTTTGAGGATGACAAGTAGTGGATTATAGAAGTTTTGTACCTATCTTACCCCATAGTTCTTTTTAAAAGTAGCCTATGAATTTCGTGTCTGGGTCAAAAATAATCATACGGGGAATGCCATGGATTCTTACTATCTCTTTTAAGAATAGGTCATCAGTATGTGTTATATTGTTGTTTTATGACAAGGGATGAAGTGTGCCATTTTGGAAAACCTGTGAACAACTACACAGATATTATCTCATCCTTTCTTGGTCCAATATAAGCCCAAAACTATGAAACCTTAATCCTACTCTATAATCAATCTCTAAACAACAAAGTATGTAACACCCCAATTTAGGGGCTAAATTTAAGAAATTATAAAGTGATGAATTTAATTGGTATTTTTGGAAGGAATCGGGTATTAAATTATAAGATTTCAAAGTTGGCAGACCGTTTTATGAAGTGCATAAAGTTCAGTGGCTAAACTCTTGGTTTACCCATTGTTTATATATGTTGAATTATAAATCTCTTCTCCCCGTGCGCAGATGCATATTTTCCAGTTTTCCCCTCTCCAACAACCCAACTTCCAACTCCGATCTACTCGTCGTCCGACCTCCAAACGACGAGCCGAAACCACCATCGTGTTCGTTGTCAACCGAGGAACAAAACCCCTCAAACCTTTCGTCGTGAATCATCGCCATTCGTCGTGAATTTCAGTCGGAAGTATCGTCGGTAATAACTCGGTTTTAGTTGGTTTTTCATCGATTCACGACGATCGGGTCATCCGTTTACGACACCTCCCGCACCATCGTGTTCCTTGTGCCGTTCCGAGTCCACCGGTGTTCTCTTTTTTCTCCGGCGGCGGCGGCGCGTTGGGAGGTGAACCGGTCAAACTTCCCGATTAGTTGAAATCGAGCTCTCCGCCGTTCAAAATTGTGAATCGAGCTTTGTAAGTATCTCGAAATCGCTCAAAATAATTTTTAGAAATTTTTCCGGGATTTTATCACTGTTCACGCGCCCCCACGCGCCGCCACTGCGCGTGGGGAAGGGAAAAGTGACCGGTTTGACCGGTTTTGGAACTGTTTTGACCGGTTTGACCGGTCACAACCCGACCCGACCCGTTAACCCGACCCGTTGACCCAACCCGACCCATTGACCCGACCCGTTGACCCGACCCGTTGACCGTTGACCCGTTGACCGTTGACCGGAATTGACCACTGTTGACCAAAACTTTGACCGGCTTTGATCGGGCATTAAACGACCTTTGACTTCGACCGAGTATACCTATCCTGACATTTTTCGACGTTCCAAATCCGATTCCGCTGTCCGTTTTTCAAAATTCGAACCCGAAGGCCTCGAAATTACCGGTCAAACCCGTTGACTTTGATTTTGACCGAAAATTCCAAATTTCCGAAAAGTCATATTTTATGCTTTCGACGTCTTGAATCCGAATCCGAAGTCCGTTTCTCCAAATTCGAACCCGGTAAGCCGTTTTTCACTGATTTATCATCCGATTCGATTCGTTTATCGCAATTAAGCTCCGTTTCTGATATAATTTATGTTGATATGTATCTGAGGAATTATTGGAAGTTGAATTGAAGATCAAAGGCGTTCGAATGGAATTTTTATGGTCGATCAGTATTGCACGGAAATCGAGGTAATACTTTACTACCTCTTTATGCTTTATGGAACATGTTGATATTGGTAAATGCATGAATAAGATAATGTTGGTCACTTTGGTGGAGTTAAATAAATTATACACTCGATATGAATGTGGTAGAAATTCTGTAACTGATTACGGATCGAATGATTAATATAAGAGATTGAGAAATTGTTAGATTAAATTACAAGTTTGTGATTGGTGATAAAGAAATCAGCCCTGTATCTGCAACTTATAATTTATTTCATCAAAGGTTAAATGCTAAAAGTACTTGGATGAGAAATTATGAGAATACTCCGGTAGGGTAAAAATTACGAAAATACCCTTACGTTATAAAAAGACAAGATTTGAATATGGAAGTTAGGTAAGAGGATTTTACAGACATATTGATCTGATAAAAATATTGATGTGCATAAGAAATGTTAGTTTTATTTGGAAATTATGGATAACCGGTTTTAATCCTAGGAGAGTTTGTGAAGGATACTAGAAGTTTGTTAAGAGAACCGTTTCAAGATCAGAGAGTGTTAGAAGAGTTTGTGAAGGATACTAGAAGTCTGTTAAGAGAACCGTTTCAAGATCAGAGAGTGTTTAAGAAAGCAATTAATCATAGGATCTCTAAATTATATTATTTTCGTTAAGAGCTAATATCGAAAAAAATATTGGTTAAGAAATTATGGAAATGCCCTTAAGAGGTAGAATAGTCTGAGTTAACGCTGAATGAGAAAATACTTTGAGGATTCGTACTTAACTCGATTAAGTACGGATTTGATTGTTAAGATCCTGACTTAGTTCAGGAAAATTCCTGATTTTTCGTTTGTAAAATCTGAGAAGGCACTTGACCCGAAAATATCCGAGAAATGAGTAAATACCTGAAGAAAAATTTATCGGGGGTATTCTGCTGTCAGAATTATTCGAAAGGACTGAAACAAATGATGAGATTGAATTAAATAATAAGATCGGATGGAGGAAAAAGATATAAATTGGAATTAAATAATAAGACCGGATAGAGGAAAAAGATTGAAATACCGTGGATCTGTAAAATGACCAAAATACCCATGTAATGGAAATGACCCAAGAATATCACCAAGCTCAAGAATGATTGGATATCCTCAAGCTCTGAAATGAATGGAGTAAAACTGAACACCAAAATTACCAAAATACCCTCATGACCTATACCAAGTAAATGCCTTGGATTAATTAAG